CTCCCCTTCCCTTCCCTTCCCTTCCCTTCCCTTTTTTCGCTTTCTTAAAACCAGTGCTATTTTCTATTCCAAAGCAGAGAACAGAAAATAGCACTGGTTTTAAGAATAGAAATTCCAAGGCAATGGCCAATATTTCCTAGTTTTCTTCACATTTTCCCATGGATGTAACTTTGTGACCTCCTCAAGTATTTCTGCTTTGGTCAAGAGCCACTTTATACTGTATCAGGGCCCCACTGGTAGCACATAGTCATTCTGGATGTTAAATGCTAATCAAATCAGATTAGAATTAAGTAAAAATGTGGCAGCTAGGAGGAGTTATGGGAATGTGAGTATGAATTTTAAAGCTGTGTTACTGTTTTGCAAACATGTAGCAGTCAAGTGTGGATTTTAGCATCTGTATGCTGGTCAGCATCTTGATTCTGAATCTGGCAAGTGACAACCAATACCTTGTGACAGATAAGTTTCTTAAGGGCCTTCTGCATAAAGAAAAACAAACTTCATAGGATGACTGTCTGTCCATTTTGGCATCTCTGAGAGAATGAATATAATCACTAATTGTAGCACAACTTCAGAACAGTTTCTGATCAACACTGAATGCCATTCACCAGTAACTTTTCCATTTTGTTTTGTTTTGTTTTGTTTTTCTGTTTTTGACAAGGTCTTACTCTGTTGCCCAGGCTGAAGTGCAGTGGTGTGATTTCAGCTCATTGCAGCATTTGCCTCCTGGGTTCAAGTGCTCCTCCTGACTCAATCCCCAGAATAGCTAGGACTGCGGGTGGGTGGGCACACACCATCACTACCAGCTATATTTTTTTTTTTTCTGTAGAGACAGGGTTTCACCATGTTGCCCAGGCTGGTCTCGAAGCAATCCACCTGCTTCAGCCTCTCAAAGTGCTGGGATTACAGGCATGAGCCGTTATGCCTGGCTCCACTTTCCTTTAGGGAGTTTTTGTCTTTTTAATTTATTTTGAAATAGTTTGAGATTTATAGAAAAGCTGCAAACACAGTACAAGGAGTTCCCATATACCCCCACTCAGTTTCTCACATTATTGACATCTTACATTGTAGTGATACATTTGTCATACCAAGGAACCAGCATTGGTACATTACTGTTCATTAGGCTTCCCCTGGATTTCACCAGCTTTTCCATTAATGTTCTCTTTCTGCCCCAGGATCCTATCCAGGGTACCACATTACATTTAATCATCGCACCTCCGCCGCCTCCTCCGCTCTGTGACAGTTCCTCAGTCTTTCCTTGTTTATCATGACATTGACAGTCTTTAGGAGTACTAGCCCCGCAATCTGTAGACCTTTGCCTGATTTGAGTTTTTCTGATATTTTCTCATGGTTACACTGAGGTTATGGGTTTAGAGGAAGAAGAATATCACAGAGGCTAACTGTCCTCACCACATCCTATTCAGGGAACATGATATCAACATGACATCACAGCTGATGTTAAGCTAGCTCACTTGGTTAAGTTAGTGGTGATTGCCAGGTTTCTCCACTGAAGTCACCATTGTTTTCTTTAAGGAGTTTTTAAAAAATAAGTTTAAATCATAGAAATAATTTAAAAAGTCTTCTCCTTGTAAAAAGTTGAAACATTACTGAAAATTTAAATTCTCTTTTAACTAATCCCTGCTGCCCATCCTGCTCCCCATTCCACCTCCTTAGAGGCAAACACTGTTACTGCTTTGAGCCTTTTCAATGTATTTACATCCATACATATGTCCCTATAAAATATATATAGGATAAGTTTGCACTTGAGGTTTTTATATAAATGATATATCATACTATATGAATATCTTTCTGCAACTTGCTTTTTTCACCCAACAATATGTCTTGGCGATCTGCTGTTCTTTTCAATGGCTGAGTTGTATTTTATTGTATCCTACAGATTACACCCCAGCTAGGCCTGTGTAGATCCTCTGGAACCTGTAATTGTTAGATCAAGTTACTCATGTTCACAAAAAAAGCACGTTTATTAAAATGGCTGTGTATAGACATTACACACTACTATTGACAATTGTATTTTCAAAGATACAGTTTAAATTGGTCACTGTCTTTTTAACCTCATGGAGTAGTAAAGCAGCAGAAAACACCACATCCAGGCTGCAGTGTCAGGGGGCAGTGTCAGAGCCCTTCCTTTGCCTCTTCCCACTGACCACACCAAGGAGGGAAGGAGAGAGCCATCATGCTTTTCTGTCCGTTACTGCTCCCCTGCAGTTCCAGAGGTAATGTGATGTAGTGAGAAGAAGGTGTGCTCGCACAGAAATGGTGGTGTAGACAGTAGCTCCAATGTGCAACACATTCAGCGAAACAAAAAAACACCCTTTTCCTGGTTCTTCTCATCAAATTCAATAAAACATTTACTTTAAAAAATTTCTGATGACAATAGTGGCATGTGTTTAACATGGACAACTTGGGAAACAGAAAAATACAAGAAAGAAAACTAAAATCACCCCTTATTGTACCATCCAGAATAACAACAGTATTATTAATATTTGGTATATATCCTTCTAGTCTTTGTTTCCGTGGATAAACCCATGTAGGCAGCAGAGATGTTCTGGGTGTGGGGAATACTGAACAGACTTACTTTTCCTACCTACCTTCCACTCCATTTCCCCTGCCAACTTCCCAGAAGAAAATGGGATTTGCAATCAGCGGAAATCTCAGAACTGTCTAAGCACATGAACTTGGTCATGCTGACAAAGAGCTACAGGCAGTAAAGGTCAGCAGATTTTCACACCCAGGCCAGGAGAATGAATGCAGACGGGGTTGCCCTGCTGCTTACCTGCATGTACTGTCTCCAGCACGCTTAGGGTCTATGCTTCTGGACTTGGTATTTCTTAAGCAGTTTCCTTTTGTGGGATGTTGTTGGTCCCTTTTCCTGGAGGATGCTGGGTGCTCTCCTTTTCCTGCTCCAGCTGATCTGTGCTCCCTTCCTTTTTTCCAGGCCACCTGCAGGTCCAGCAGTACTTTTGTGGTTTGTTCAGTCGGTCCTTCAAACATCTTCCACTGTAACTTGATGTCACTTTCTGTCCTGTCCTATGTAATTCTGGGTAATTTTAGAAGCAGCTGAAAGTATCACAATCCCATCAGAGAAAGGATGTGGCTCATAGCCTTCCTTCTGGGACCACATCAAGTAGTGCTGAATGGCAACCCGAGAACACGACAGGCCAGGAGGCAAAAGGCTCCACTGAACCCCAAATTCATAGGAATTGTCAAAATTCAGCTACCCTCAGAGTATATGCTTTCCTATAGATTTTTAAAAACATAACAGAGATGTTCTTTACTTTGGAATGACGATCTTTCCGTTTTAACGAACAGGAATGCACCATGTCACCTCACAGGGTCTTTTCCAGTCCTAGGGTTGTGGGATGTTTACATAGAAATACACAGATGTGTACACTGAGCTGGAAGCCAAGTCTGCCTACAGGTGGAATGGACAATCACTTAACGCTACTCAACTGGACAACTTTCTCTCTCACCCACTTTTCCTAATATTCCTGTCAACATTTTCCTTCCCCACTCCCTGTCAAAAGCCTGGTAGTCTATCTTTAGCGTCTTGGGGACTGTATTAGTTAAAATTAGGTTTGGCTGTTGGTGATGGTAAAATGATATGACAGAGGATTAAAGGAGGTGGAAATTTTGCTCTTTGTCCCTCATATGAACATTTCAGGGTAGGATGTACAGAGCTGGTGTGATAGCTTTGCACCATGGAACCCTCAGGGCTCTCAGCGCTGTCTGTCTTGGAGTTCTAACAAATATGGCTCTACATTCGAGATCAACACCCAGCCTGAGACAGAACTCCAGCTGTCACATTCATGCTCTAAGTAGCAGGATGGAGAAGGGATGAAGAAGCTGCCTCTACTAGAAATTCTTGGAAGCTAAAACATGGCCCTTTACTCCCAGTCTGTTGTCACGTAGCTACACCTAGCTGCAAGAGAGGCTTGGAAATGTTGTCTTTATCTGGGTGGTCAGGTGGCAAGATAAATATTCAATAACTGTAGAAAAAGAGGAAAATGGCTCTTGGGGAACAACTAGCAGTTTCTGTGATAAGGGTCCATTGGAATTCCAAGAACCAACTATTAGAATATAACCCTGAAAGGGGGTTTCCAAGCTCAGTCATTGCCACTCAGTACTTTTGTGGGGATTGGTGCCACTATGAAAGTGCACACCTTATGAGATTGGGGTGTATGCCCAGGGACAGGCAGAGATGGCAGCTAAGAAGAGGCTGCCCAGAGGGTGAGGGGCAGGACCTTAGACCAGCGTTACCTTCCTCACAGTGTTACTTGGGGCTGGGGTGCATGACCACATCCCTCTCAGCATCAAGGAAGATGACTGTGGAAATAAGTGTAAACCTTGAATACTGTGAGAGATCCTACAGGACTACTGAAGTTCATAACAGGAGAGAACTGGCATCTTGAGCACCTATTAGGTGCTGGGCACTAAGCTGGAGGTTTTATGTACATTCTGTCATTTAACTCTCACAACACCTTATCATTTTCCATTATCATGCCATTGTACAAATGTGGAAACAGGCTCTTGACTGTAAATGACTGAACCATATAGCTAATACGTAGAAAGAGGCTTTATCCATTGAACTCTCTCGGTACAGAATAAGACTAGATTAGAGAGGTTCAGAGGTGCCAAACATATACGTGCTTGTATCAATTTTTTATAAAGTGAATTACATAAAAGACAGGGAGGTAGATGGCTATTATTTAAAAGCTGTGACTACTTTCATGAAACAAAGATTAGTTTAGTAAAAACAATTACCTCCCTAATATATTGTAGATTGAATATGTCAGCTTGAAGTAGATCAAGCCGCTCTTTTACTTACTTATCTAAATATGCTTTGGATTATGAGGTTTACTTTTGCAATGACCTGACTGTGATTTTGTTAATAATAATGCAAATGTTTATGTAATTTGATTAATGCTAATTTTTTGATAGAATAAAAATATGAAGGATGATGACCTCTCCATGAAACAAAATGGAAATGATCTATCACAAATAAATCTCAGCCAACATGCTAATGGGCCTCTCGAGCAGATACAAGAGACGGGGTAAAGTAAATTATATTATTAGTGACTCAAAAAAGTGGATTAAAACACTGTGTGGGAAACAGAGTGACTGATTAATATGTAGTTTACATGTTAACTCAAAAAGTCAGAATGAAATATGAAGTCAGAATGAAAGCAAGACTTTTAAAACAGGTCAGACAACTAAACTAATGCTTCACCCTACAACTGTGTTTTTAATGAGAGTAATTTCTAAGAGAAACTTGTCTTTACATGTATATATGGAGTAATTATTTCCCCTCAGTACATTTATAAAATGAAGCTATCATGAAACACCCCTAAATTAAATAAAATGACTTTAGTTTTGGGCATGTGAATTTTTGGCATCACTTCGAGGTGAAATGGATTTATGATATCTCTCCTGCCTGCTAAAGGTACAACTATGCAATGACCCTACAACTGCTGGGCTTGGATGACGGCACTGAGCCCAGTGATAGGAATCCTGTCCTGATGAGAGGGGCCTACTTGTCTTTTCTGTATCTGCGCCATCTTCGAATCAGAGAACTGCAGGTATGTGGATGGCAGGCATCAGAAATGTCTGCTTGTCTAGAAAAGAGGATTTTCTGCTATTCCAATAGCAAATGCCATTTTATGCTTTTGCCCTTTGTTCCATTTTTTTTTTTTTTTAACATGGAATCAGCAGCCCCTTGCCAGGGTGGTGTGTTCCTTTCTCCACAGTAGGGTTGATCTGCCATCAAGTTGTATTCTGTAGGGTGAACTAGGCGAAGGGCGGGGACCTGACTCTGTTCTTTCTTTGTTTCAGCGCATCTGCTTAGGAATTCTGAATTATTTCAGATCTGTTGAGCGAACCCTGACAATCAACACTTCGGGCCTTACCTTGGTTTCAGGGAAACTGGTCCCCACCATGGAAGATAGTTCCTGGGTAAATATGGCAAAAGGAGGTCTGGGCACCTCGCAGGGCCTGGGCGCTCACCACTATGTCCATGAGACGCCTGCTGAGCACAAGGTGAGGTGTTGTGCTGACGTTTTTTCTTCCTTGATTATCCTGCCTCCCAAAGCCACCCTCTAGATAAGACCTGGAATCAGTTAACATGATGCAGTAACCGATGGGGGGTTCTTAGGGAAGAGGCCTTTTAATCATAATAAAACACAAGGTCTGCTTAAGAGCAATTCACAGGCAGAGAGTGCCCTAAAGCAGCCCTGGAGGCCACACTGGGAAGGAAGAAATAGAATGTGAGAGGCCCTTCTGTTACCCTGGCCTGAGAACTTACATCCTTACAGAGACACTCTTAGAAGACCCCCCCCCTCGACATTGCTATATATACCTTTTTTGCCTCTTTTCTGTTTTCCAAGCCTCAAAAAAAAAAAAAAAAGACTCAAAACAGAGGTAGAAAAACATTGGACAGAGCTGAACAATAAAGAAATATTTTATCCTTCTAAACACCTGCTTGACCCTTAGTGCTTTTGGTGTTTCTAGAACAGTTTTTTCTACAAAGTCTATAAAATTTCAATCCTGCCTAACAAAAGGCCAATAAGACAAAATTCATATTAACTCCCTTTCTTTGGGAATAAAGTTGAGAATGCTTACATTTTATTGGACTATTGTAGACACTCTTGTAATACTTTAATCTCAATTTCTAGAGAGTTTATTCCTGAAGATAGAGTTTAATATGAATTTTTATCTTCTTAAAAATGCTAGATTGACAAAGGTGAAAAATAAAATCTACTTAGCTCCAAAACAAGCCATTTTCTAAGCTAGTGTGACCTCTGACTTATGCCTGTTGTGTCTGTAAGTGTGAAATATTACTGTTAAGTGTTGTTCATATGCACACAGTCTAGAGCAGCACTGGCCAGCAGAAATATAATGCAAGCCACATACATTATTTAAAATGTTCTAGTAGCTACATTTTAAAAAGTACAAAGAAACATGAAATTTTAAATAATATAATCTGTTTAGCCCAATATCTATATTATTTCTACATATAATCAATATTAATAAATCATTGAGTGATCATACTTTTTTTTGTACTAAGTCTTTAAAATCTGGTGTGTATTTTATATACAGATAGCACATTTTAACTCAGATAAGCCACATTTCAAGGGCTTAACAGCCAGTGGCTAGAGGCCACATGTACTGAACAATTCAGCTTCAGATATTGGGAATTTTTTTTAATTTTCCTGACCCAGTGGCTTCTAGAGTCCTACCTTCACTCAATCTTCAGGACACCCTTCTCTTTTGGGTCTCCTGCCCTAACAAGCACCCACCAACTCCTACTCCCTCACGACACACAGACTTCCTCTCAGGTCTTCCCTTATCCCTCTGCCCTCCTGCTTGGGTTCTAACTCATCAAGCCCAATTAGTTTGGTCCTCAGTGGAACTAGAAAGGTGAGTTAAGATACTTTTAATACCAACATGCTACAAAACAAACACATCTTTCTCTTACTAATATTGATCCAACCACAGCTGTGGTATGTTATTATGCTAATGGATATTTTTGAAAATGTTCTTACCAAAGAGCCCTCTCTCAGTCTCTCTGTTCTGAGTTTGGGTAGGAGATAGAAATAAAGGAGGAGAGGATAGGCAAATACTGTCCTGCCGTACTCATTATAGGAGGAACTTCTCGGGGTAATGCATTTTATTTATATATATTTTTTGAGATGGAATTTCGCTCTTGTTGCCCAGGCTGGAGTGCAGTGGCGCAGTCTCAGCTCACTGCAACCTCTGACTCCTGTGTTCCAGCGATTCTCCTG